CTCCCCCCGCACGCTGGAGGAGCAGGGGGGAGCACGAGCGTGCTGCAGCCCCCCCCGGCAGCCTCCCCCGGGCAGCCCCCACCAACCGGCCCATGTCGGAGCCCCCCCAGACGCTCAGGAGGGCACCGCTCCCCAGTGACGCCTCGTGCCCAGGCATCCGGGGGGATGCGGGTGAAGGCGGAGAGGGGTGCGCGTCTGCACGGCATCCTCCAGCGCCCACGCTGCGAGGCTGGGGTCTCGTCCCAAGCCCACTCCACCCGGAGCCCATGGGTTTGCTTGCCCTGAGCTGCAGTCAGGTGCCGGCCGGGAGCGGCGCTCAGCCGAGCTGGGTGAAGGTGGGCTGCGGGGACACGTTCACCTAACGCCACCAGGTTGGGTGGAGATCGCTGGAGGGCAGGGGCGAAGCGAGGCGGGGGGGGCCTGGAGGGAGCAGGGGGATGTGCCGGGATGGAGCCCCTGGCTCCCTGTGTCCGTCGTTTGCTGCGCAGCTCCCCAGCGGGAAGTGTTTCCCGTCAGTTGGGTGTTGGACCAGGGGGGGCGAAGCGGCTGCGATTCCCCTCGCCTGAATTCCTGTTGTGCCCTCTAGGTTTGGTAAGGAGACGGTTGGACTCGCCCGGGCTCTGCTTGGCGTGGAGCGTGGCTCAAGGCTGATGCCAGCCAGGAGCTGTGATCCCATGGTGAGGAGCGGCCGAGTCCCAGCATCAGGGCCCCCGTCCCTGCTCTGGCCGGCCGGGGTGTGCCCCGTCCCGCGTACGTGAGCCCGACGGTGTTGGGCTCCGCGTGAAAGCAGACGGCAGCTGGAATTGGCCGGGGAGCTCTGCCGGGCACTGAGGCGCCTCGGGAGCCCGTGGGGTGTTGGGGCTGGGGCTGAGGTCCCTCAGGTGCTCCCTGATGGGCTCTGCTTGGAAGGTGAAAGTCAGACGGCGCGGCTGGGGCGCCCACGGTTCAGCTGGCCCTTTGGAGGAGTGACAGAGGGCCGAGTGTCTCTTGCAGAGGCACCCTGCGGCATTTTCGGCAGCTTCTCTCCCAAAGCAGGCGTCTCGGTGATGCGCTCCTGACTCTCCCATTTTTATACACGTTTTGTTTTTCAGCGGACCAGTGTCTCGGCTCTTCTACCAGGGCAAAGCACCGAAATGCAGCCCATGCCCCTGCACAGCCTTTCGGAGCTGGAAAGAGCCAGCCTGCAGGAGCTCGCTCTCTACCGGCTGCAGGAGAAGCTGCTCCTGGGAGATCTCAGCCTGGCTAAAGGTAGGGATGGGGAGATCTCAGCCTGGCTAAAGGTAGGGATGGGGGGGATCTCAGCCTGGCTAAAGGTAGGGACGGGGGGAGCTCAGCCTGGCTAAAGGTAGGGATGGGGAGATCTCAGCCTGGCTAAAGGTAGGGACGGGGAGATCTCAGCCTGGCTAAAGGTAGGGGATGGGCGAGGGCGGCTCCGATGCGGGAGGGCTGAGCTCTGAGCCGCCGCTGCTCCTCATCCCCGCTCCCGCAGTCCGGAGCACAGGATGATGTTTATGGAAAGACATTTGTGACACGTCTTGGTCCATTTTATTTTTTGTTCCCTGCTTTGGCCCAAGCCTCGAAGGCCTGATCAACCTTTTGAGGAGGGTCTGCGCATCCGCAGGGGTGTGAGAATGTGACCTTGCTGCTTGCCTGCCTCTGATCCCCCTAATCCAAACCAGATGCAGTATGGCTTGGCGAGGTCTTCCGCTGGGACTATCCTAATGCCGTTGGGATGGGAGAAGCTTTGCCTTTTGGATTCATGTGCAGCACCAAGTCCCAGTGCTGGGACGGGGCTTGCGCAAGGCTGGAAGCTCCATGGTGAAATCCATGGGCAGGCAAACACAGACGCTGCGCTGGGACTGAGCTGCTCTGCCCTGCCTACGCAAGCAGCCCGGCACTGTCGGGGTTCCCGTGAGCTGCCCGCGCCCCCCGACGTCTGCACGTCCCACCGAGCAGGCACGGTGAGCTGGGGATCTGCTGACCCCTTCCCAAATGTCCGCGTTACTCAGGGGTGGGCAGACGGCCTTGAAATGCCCCCTTAGGGCAGGAGGTGCCTCCAGCTCGGCAGCCCTGGGCACCAGCAGTGCGGCTGCAAAGGGGGTCACCAGCCCCACCGCCCCCTCGCAGCAGCACCCAGGGCAGCT